GGTGGTGTGTTGCTGATGCGGAATCCTTTTCCTGCCTCTGACGTTAACCTGCTGAGCAATATCTGAAGGGTTTCACTGTAGTTTGGATGCACTTGATACTGGTGTCATTCCCTGGAGCAGATGAAGCGGAAAGGTCATGAATTATTTGCAGAAAAAATCTCCACCACTCCTCAATGTACAACTGGATGTAGGAGATGGGATTACACAATAAAACAAATGCAGGAGACTGAAACAAAAGTTTCTTTAAATCCAAAGTATGCAACACTATGAATCATCCCATAACTGAGAGATTTGAATACATTAGGTTTAAAAATATGAAGTGACGACTCACTCCTAATCCACCCACTAATATGCGGTGCTGCTGTAGAGTTATTTATAGCTCTGATGCTGCTGGAAGCTGTCTTTCTTGGTGTGTGTGAGAGAGCGAGACACTGGAGGAAAAACAACAGGTCTGCTTTTCTGCAGTCACCTTACAGTCAGCGCCCAGGGCTAAACTTAGTCCACACAAATATGAGTTCAACTCAAACTGCTCTGGATGCATTTTTTTTTTTTTTATAAAGAGACTGAGGGCATGTATGGATTGAGAATATTGATGAGTTTCTGACTCAGTCTTGTGCCATTTAAATGCCACTTATGACCACAGGCAAGAAAAAGAAGGTTCTTTCTCCAGAGAACTCAATGTGCTACTTCACAGCTCAGTCGCCTTTGACCCTGTGTAACCCCAGGACTGTGGAAACCATCTAGCCAGAAAGACGTAATTACACTGCTGGTCCCGTTTGTCTACATAAGTTTGAACAAACCTTGCTCAGATCTTTGTAGAACAGGTGTTTGTTTGCAAAACTGAACTTCTAACTTGAGCTCTTATAAGATGCAACTGGACAGGACTTTGACCTCAGTCTAATACATAAATTCAAGCACCGTGCCTCATGTAACTCAATGGTTTAATCAAGTACAAAAACAAATTAAATTAAAAAATAAAACAGTAAAGTGATGCTCTCCTGCATCTCGTTCAGAATGGATTATGTGTGCATCCTCCCTCTTCTTACCACCCACTGCCAAACCTCTGAGCAAGCTGGAAGTTATATTCAGATGCTGAAGAACAGTAGAAGTAAAAATAGATAATTGCACTCTTAATTGGCATGACTCGCCCTCCCCTGACAGCTATTTTAGTTTATCCTCTCTTTTTTTTATTTTCCTGAATGTCACCAACACCCACCTCCAAGCCCCAACATGTAGAACAAAACTTCTCCATTTTTCCTCTCTCTCCTCACACACACACACACACACACACACACACACACACACACACACACAC